TTAAGGCAAGTTTTTTTTTTGTTTCTAGCCAATTGGATGGCTATACCAACATACTCTCGGGTCACTTTGAAACCAGGGATGCATAAAACAAATCAACATAACCAATGAAGAAAAAAAGCAACGTGCTCTGCGAATGATGAGGTAGGGAATTAAGAAGTGAAGAAATGGTTGATGAGATCATTATACCCTATGCTAAAAGGGATAGTGAAGAAATCATAACCAAAATTNTACAGCTAGCAGTGATCCTATTCTTAGTAAGGTTAAAGAGGCTCCTATACAATGCACCAAAGACAAAAAGGGTTAAGGCAAGTTTTTTTTTTGTTTCTAGCCAATTGGATGGCTATACCAACATACTCTCGGGTCACTTTGAAACCAGGGATGCATAAAACAAATCAACATAACCAATGAAGAAAAAAAGCAACGTGCTCTGCGAATGATGAGGTAGAGAATTAAGAAGTGAAGAAATGGTTGATGAGATCATTATACCCTATGCTAAAAGGGATAGTGAAGAAATCACAACCAAAATCAGCGGGAAGACAAGCATTCACCTCTACAGCTGTCAATGGAAGCCCAATTAAATAGATGACATCCAAAATCGTTGGGGACATCATACCTACGGGGAGAAGCATGGCATTGCATGACTTAGACCAAAAGCATGCAGCAACACCAATCATCCATCCGTTCATATGCAGGTCTTGGGTGGAAAGCTTAATCATTCCAACAATACCCAATCTTCGTCATTAAGAGGCATAAAGAGCTTCCATCTTGGTGACCCAATTGACCCAACATTGGTCAGGGTTGATCCATGATTAGAGTGGGTTGATTCCCTAGTTCCATGACTTCCACGAAAGTTGCGATTGGTTCAGCATTAGGGTTTTGCCCTCATGAACAGAGTAGTAATCAAAAAACCCCTCGCAGATATGTAATTTAAAGAAAGGACCTAGAGTAAAAACCCCACTTGAGTTAGAGGTAGGAATCAAAACCCTTGGGTCTGCAAAGTTGTTGGTTGTTTGTTTAATTTCAGGGGAGAACCTCGGCGAGAAAGGAATCTCAAAAGGAGTTGAAGATCCTTTTGCTTTTTGGGAGCCATTAAGGATCGGCAAAAGGAAAAGAGAAAAATCGCTAGAGGTTTTCAAAGATAGAAAGGAAAGTAAACAGGGGAAATTCATTGAGCAGGTTAGCCACAGAAAGCTTTTAAACATATGCTTAAAGAAGATAAAAGTAATGACAGTTCATTTACTTGAGTTTAATTAAGAATAAAACTCAATTAAATGAGGGGGCATTGTTTGGACATAAAATAAAAAATTATGAAAGCATTCAATATATGTGTTGTTGGCAAGTCTAAAATTATTAAAGGATTACCACGTGTCAAGGTCTGAAGAAAAGGCGGGAAGCGACCAACCACAGCTCTAGTTTGAAGGAGGAAATAATTATCTAGGAGTTACAAAGCCAACTAACCGTCGACAAGGGAGAAACCATCGAAAGAAGTGGCGATAAAAAGAGGAAAAGAAGGAGACATAAGAACAACTCAAATCCCCATCCTCCCCCCCCCCCCAACAAAACCCACAATCAAGGCATTTAGTAGTAGTGTTAAAGTTAGTTTTTAGGAAGTAGTTAGTACTGTAATCAAAGACTGTTAAATCAGTCACTCTATAACTGAAACTCACTCGATTGAATTAATAAAAGCATATATCTTTGTTAGGCAGTAAAACTCATCCACAAGCAATCATCTGAAAGTTGTCTGTCGATTGAGGCATTTCTGTTGATCGCAGCAGAACTTTTGGGACAACAGGATGTTATTCTTCGTCCTTTGTGTTAATTTCCATCTGATTTTTTGCTTTTATCTAGTATTATCAACTGTTTCCTTCTTTTTTAGTTATTTGCTTATTGGAGACTCCTTGCAGATGCATGTTTTTATTTAGGGTGGGGTTATTCCCACCCCACAAATCTTCATTCCCACCTCATTTAATATTTCAATATCAAACTACTAACCACACCCCTTCTATACCCACCACATTAGTAATTAAATCCACTTTATACTACATACACCCCTTTTAATAAGTAAACCCACTTTATATTTTCTCATAATTAGAATATCATTCTCTTTCTCTTTTCATGTACTCACAAAAATATTTTTTCAATATGAATTTTTTCAGTAAAATATATGTTAGTACTACTTCACAATTTAATTATATATTTGATTTCATGTTTATTATATGAATTTTCATTATTTTCTGTATATTTTGATATTTTTGTCAAATTTAATAATTTTTTATTTAGAATTTGTATGTGTGTATATATGTGTATTTTCAGATTATTTGTTCATTGTTAAGTTTTGTATCTATGCTTGTTATTTTTTTTCTTGTTCGATTTTGTGTCTGTGTTTGATGCTTATTTTTTTTTTCATATTTGGCTTTGCGTCTTATAGCTTTATTTGTTCCTTTAATCTTTATTTGAATTTTTTTTCTTCCTTGTTTTGTTTTAGTTCTTTCTTTCTGTTTTTTTCTTATTTCGTTCTTTTCTTTTTTCTTGTTTCGGTCTACATCTTTCTTTCATTTTTTTTCTCATTTTTGTTATTTTCTTTTTTCTTATTTTAGCATGCTTAGTTTTTTTTTTTTACTTGTTTCATTTTTTATTCTTTTTTTTCTTGTTTCATAAATATATTTATGTATTCTAACTAATTGTCTTCATTCATTATTTTTTTCTTACAATGACTTTTTTCATTAAAAGGATGTACATAAAATAAATGAACTTAATTATTAATAGGATGTATGTAACATGGAATGGACTTAGTTATTAATGTAATGTATATAAAAAAAGTGAACTTAGTAGTTTGAGAATGAGAAATTAAATAAGGTCAGAATGGAGATTTGTGAGGTGAAAATAAACCCACCCTTTTATTAATTCTTTAAGCAAAGATNCATTCTCTTTCTCTTTTCATGTACTCACAAAAATATTTTTTCAATATGAATTTTTTCAGTAAAATATATGTTAGTACTACTTCACAATTTAATTATATATTTGATTTCATGTTTATTATATGAATTTTCATTATTTTCTGTATATTTTTATATTTTTGTCAAATTTAATAATTTTTTATTTAGAATTTGTATGTGTGTATATATGTGTATTTTCAGATTATTTGTTCATTGTTAAGTTTTGTATCTATGCTTGTTATTTTTTTTCTTGTTCGATTTTGTGTCTGTGTTTGATGCTTATTTTTTTTTTCATATTTGGTTTTGCGTCTTATAGCTTTATTTGTTCCTTTAATCTTTATTTGAATTTTTTTTCTTCCTTGTTTTGTTTTAGTTTTTTCTTTCTGTTTTTTTCTTATTTCGTTCTTTTCTTTTTTCTTGTTTCGGTCTACATCTTTCTTTCATTTTTTTTCTCATTTTGTTATTTTCTTTTTTCTTATTTTAGCATGCTTAGTTTTTTTTTTTTACTTGTTTCATTTTTTATTCTTTTTTTTCTTGTTTCATAAATATATTTATGTATTCTAACTAATTGTCTTCATTCATTATTTTTTTCTTACAATGACTTTTTTCATTAAAAGGATGTACATAAAATGAATGAACTTAATTATTAATAGGGTGTATGTAACATGGAATGGACTTAGTTATTAATGCAATGTATATAAAAAAAGTGAACTTAATAGTTTGAGAATGAGAAATTAAATAAGGTGAGAATGGAGATATGTGAGGTGAAAATAAGCCCACCCTTTTATTAATTCTTTAAGCAAAGACGCCAATGGCAATGTAGGCCACCAGCTATAACTCCTTCATTCGCCTGTGTTTCTCTTTGGAAGCCAGTGTTTTTTGTGAACTTTCCTTTTTGATTGCATGAGACGGGCATTCATAAAAGATAAAGAGTGTCCACGCCGCCATCTCAGAGTGCTAAGAGTACTCCAAGACATGGGTTAGTCATTTTGGATCCCTGTAAGTATTACATTCTCTCCTTTACTCGGCAGGACACAAACATCGCCTTAATAAAGTAAGTTTCCGTTTTCACAAGCAGAAATTACACAATTGTATTAGTTACCAATCTATATACCTAAAAGTATAAAAACATAATGGATTACTCTTTCGCAAAGTGAATTATAAGCATCTTGAATATAAATAATACACTTATATATGTCAATATGTACACTACCATATATGCTTTGGAGAAAACTGAAACACGAGAAAGACGGAAAAAAAAAAAAGCTAGTTAAAATAGCAAAACAAAATACTTAAAATTGTTATCAAAAAATACATAAATTGTTCTATTTTTGTAAGTAAAGCCCCTTTTTCAACATTTATTAGGTAAATAAATTGAAATTTTTCATTTGTCACCAAGCTAACTTGACTCGTAGGTTTATTATATGAACCAAATTCATGGATTGAAACAAGAACTCAAACCATCACAAAGTAAACATAGATGTTAGCTGTCCAACATTCAAAATCACGACAATCAACAGATATGCCATCTTCCAGAGTAGCTCTCATATAACGTGAAAGCAGAGCAAGCTCAATCTTAACAATAGGCAATCATAAGAGCGACATAAACAATAAGCCACCTGATTGAAAAGAGGAAATTGAAAAACAACAGTTAACAAATACAACCCAACTGACTATCCAGTGCTCAATAAAGCTCAGAAGGTGGCTATAAGCCAAGTTTACAAATGCGACCATAACATGCAGAATCAAAGCATTAAACCAGTCAGAGCCAAATCTGACGTTTTCTTTAGCAGAAAATATGTGATTATTTGACAGACTGAAGAGGCTTCTCTTTCCATGCATGGAGTAAAGAAAGTCTGAAACTAAACCGAAAAGATGGATCAACATATATAGTCACCATCTCGGTTTGAATTATGAGTTAGCGGCCTAGGCAGGATGAAGATACAATTCTTAATTTCTTCTCTGTTTTGTCAACCCCCCCTCTTTTTTTTTTTCTCCCAAAAAAAAAAAAAACCCCTTTTCCTTTTCTTTCCAAGATATTTGTGGTTCAAGCTTCATGGCAATTCAAGAAGAACCTCCATGGCGGAAAAGGAGTACAGATCGATAAAGGGTGGCAACATGAAGAAAGCAGATAAGCACTATAATTAGATCATCCAATAGACCAATTATTCCAAACAACCCTGCCAAAAAACAGCACATCAGTTGGTGAAAACCAATCCGCAATGATTTAACAACAAAATAGATTTTCTGCAAACAAATTACCTTCAGGAATAATGTCCACGGGGCTGAGTACGTAAATGGCACTTAATACCATCTGCAACAAAAAAACACACACACACATTTAAAATGTGTCTAGAAAGAGAAGTAAATTGGAATATTTGGTAAGATAACTGTGGATGTAAACAAATGGCAATTAAAAGGAACACAGAATCAACAGCTGATAACAGCAGTCGATGGTACAAAAACTAGAAACATTAACATACACAGTTTCTTTTTCCTATCAAACCAATTCTTAAATATCCAATGCCTGCCAAATAAAGAACTTTCGACATAATCAGTTGCACAGGCTTTGCATATGTAACACAAGGCACTACATGTTCTTTGTTATATCAGAACTTGTCCACAGTAACTTTATAGGTTTTAGATGATGAATAAACACGTGTATGAATATTTCTAAGGAGTTTCCCTTGATGGATACAGCACAATAGAGGAAAATGATTCATGTAGTCGTTCCAAAATAGTTGGTACAGGGCTTTGCTGAGTAAGCAAATAATTCCTTCACTTCTCCTATATGATGTTTCTAGCAATCACTGTTATTATTAGACAACACTTCCCACCACAATTCTATGGAGGAAAAAAATAGAACAAAAAAAATAGGCAAAAAGAAAATTTTGTTTTCCTAGTGCAGACATATAAATTAAAATGCCATTTATTACAAACCACATTGTTTAGAAAAGACAATATAAGATCAAGCATGATAATATCTCCTCTGCATAAGTAGATCTTCCCCCATGACAACCTCTCTCTCTCTCTCTCTCTCTCTCTCTAGATAACTACACCTCTAAATCTCATAGTAACTGCATAATCAGGAAATGGATAAAATTAGAAATATCAAATGAAAAAATCATAGGCATATTCCAAGATCAACCGGTAAGAATGTGGAGAAAAACCAAAACCGAATGGTTCCTAATACTTCAAAAAACATTCGATTTAAAAGTAACATCTGCGAAAAGAGATTGTATCCGATGTAGAAAGATTAGGACCACCCNAAAAAAAAAAACCCCTTTTCCTTTTCTTTCCAAGATATTTGTGGTTCAAGCTTCATGGCAATTCAAGAAGAACCTCCATGGCGGAAAAGGAGTACAGATCGATAAAGGGTGGCAACATGAAGAAAGCAGATAAGCACTATAATTAGATCATCCAATAGACCAATTATTCCAAACAACCCTGCCAAAAAACAGCACATCAGTTGGTGAAAACCAATCCGCAATGATTTAACAACAAAATAGATTTTCTGCAAACAAATTACCTTCAGGAATAATGTCTACGGGGCTGAGTACGTAAATGGCACTTAATACCATCTGCAACAAAAAAACACACACACACATTTAAAATGTGTCTAGAAAGAGAAGTAAATTGGAATATTTGGTAAGATAACTGTGGATGTAAACAAATGGCAATTAAAAGGAACACAGAATCAACAGCTGATAACAGCAGTCGATGGTACAAAAACTAGAAACATTAACATACACAGTTTCTTTTTCCTATCAAACCAATTCTTAAATATCCAATGCCTGCCAAATAAAGAACTTTCGACATAATCAGTTGCACAGGCTTTGCATATGTAACACAAGGCACTACATGTTCTTTGTTATATCAGAACTTGTCCACAGTAACTTTATAGGTTTTAGATGATGAATAAACACGTGTATGAATATTTCTAAGGAGTTTCCCTTGATGGATACAGCACAATAGAGGAAAATGATTCATGTAGTCGTTCCAAAATAGTTGGTACAGGGCTTTGCTGAGTAAGCAAATAATTCCTTCACTTCTCCTATATGATGTTTCTAGCAATCACTGTTATTATTAGACAACACTTCCCACCACAATTCTATGGAGGAAAAAAATAGAACAAAAAAAATAGGCAAAAAGAAAATTTTGTTTTCCTAGTGCAGACATATAAATTAAAATGCCATTTATTACAAACCACATTGTTTAGAAAAGACAATATAAGATCAAGCATGATAATATCTCCTCTGCATAAGTAGATCTTCCCCCATGACAACCTCTCTCTCTCTCTCTCTCTCTCTAGATAACTACACCTCTAAATCTCATAGTAACTGCATAATCAGGAAATGGATAAAATTAGAAATATCAAATGAAAAAATCATAGGCATATTCCAAGATCAACCGGTAAGAATGTGGAGAAAAACCAAAACCGAATGGTTCCTAATACTTCAAAAAACATTCGATTTAAAAGTAACATCTGCGAAAAGAGATTGTATCCGATGTAGAAAGATTAGGACCACCCATGGTTGGTATATGTGGTCAAGGAGCCTCTCCATCCTTCTCAACCAGCTTTGAATTGGATGTTTTGACAATATTAAATTGCCCTAGATTTACGTCTCATATTTGCATAATTGATTACACACTGTTGCAAAAAATACTAACTGCCATCATATGACCACATGCTACAATCAAAATACCTTTGTCTAAAAGGAAAGCTAATGTTCACATATGACGCTGGTATTGAAAGGGTAACACACATTCTCCATAGCACCAGCATCTGGTTGTTGTCTCATCAAAATTTGTTGTTTAATAAAACTGAATATTAAGTATTGCACAGTTTTAGTCCTGGATTGTCAAAGCTGAAGATTTCAAGCTGATAAAATAGCATTTATAAAGGAAAAATTCATTAATAAAAGTTCCACTTAAAATCAACCTTCCACTTAGTTTATTTAATGGCAAGGCAAGTAATTTTGACTTAAAAGTAAACACCTATTTTAAGCAAGTTTGTCCTTTTAAGTGATAATAGGTTACAAATTATCAAAAGTATTAAGAGGCATCAAACCCACAGTCAATTGGCAATAGGTGAAGAAGTCCCTTAAGGGCCTTAACTATAGTGACCAACCTCAAATGACTCTAATATTTACATCCTCTATCACTTGGATCTTGAACTCAAACATGGGTTAACATGTATACTAAGATATTCAAATGAGTGAAAGATGTAACCAATTGACCACCAAAGGCACAACTATGGTACAATCTTAAAGCATCCAACCCAAAATCAAAAAAAAAATGAGAAGAGAGGCTCTCAACTATATAAATCAATCTTGGGTAACCGTAATCTTTTTATATGTAATGCAAACTCTCTTAACACCCTCCCTCACATGGAACTCAAGCTCGCATACAGGCTAGCAAACAAACTAACAAATATACTTTTCAAAAGATTCAAATAGGTGAGAGACTTGACCCAATGGCCACCCAAGCCTAGCTTCGATACCATGTTAAAGGGAAAGAGTTCACGGAGATAGACCAATATACATTTGGAACTCCCAAGTCTACTGGTGGTGGAGTTCATTCGTAATATATTAAACTGTAGCTACCATGTTAGAGGCATCTAAAGCAGAATTGATTAACAACGAGTAGCGAAGCTCTTCGATCATATAAATCAATCTTAGATGGCCCCAATCTTTCGATATGGGACAAAAGATCTACAAAAGGCACTTCATCAATTAAGGTCTAAACATTTTTCAGTTTTAAGCATTAAATAGTTTTTCTTTTTAAGTTTCTTCCGTTTCTTCAATAAATCTTTTTTTTTCAAACCAACTGAAATCACTACAAAATGCCTAAGTGAGAAAAATTACATTGTAATCAATTAATATAATTATCTTGTAATTTAATAAATAAGAGAAGAAACAATTCATCAGTAATTGCAGTGACAAGAGGGACATCCAGTTATGGGTACAAATAACCTGATGCACAGTGAAATAAAATTTGCCTTAAATAGATTCCCTTCGAGAGTCCCTCGATGGCTTGGTTGCCGACTTGCATCTTCTTTAGGGGTCAAGGATGAGTAGTGCATATATTCAAAGAATGTGTTTTAGTCTCATGACAAAAAAGTCAAAAAAGTATCACCAAAATTAAAAAATGGTCATAAGACAAAAAGCCATTTAGGACAGCATTTTCCAGTTCAAAATTGGAAAACAAGTTTGTGTAGTTTGCAGAAGGAACAATAAACACACAAACAATGAAAGATTTTAGGTATGCCAGCAAGCATGTGTATAAGATAAGAAAATTGCAATGTCAGATACAGAAATGTTCGCTTGGTCACGTAATCAACTTAACTGCCAAATAGACACGTGCTCTGATGACAAGGGGAAGAGATCTTTGAGGATCCATCATTTCTCGTAACAGCCTCCTGAGAAGAAAGGGAAGGTCCTGAACTCTCTGTTAAAAGAAAAAAGATCATCTTTCAAAAGTCAACTCACAATGGTTTTCTACTAACATGCAAAGAAAATGAATTACCATCACAGTTATGATATCTAACATCTATCTATAAATATTTTATTTATCAAATTGTTTAGGAAAAAAAATAGTTACTTCAATCCAATAAATTTACTTGCACCATTTTTTTTAAGGAAAAATCAATATCCTATCTAACCACCATTCATTTGTTTTCGTTTTCAAAGAATTCTATCTTTATCTCCTTATAACTGTCCAAAATTCTATCTCTAACTTCCCACAGCTAGTAAATGAACAAGCAAAAGAATTTAGCCACACGATGTAGGCTCCTATAAAAGGAACCCCATCGAGATTTGATTTTGCATATGCATAAACCACTATAAGTTGAGTATGATGAACCAAAGAGAAGTCAAATTGCTATCTGCACATTTACCCAAAAAATTGCTGTCTATACATTTTAAAAAATCTAAATAATTCAAAGATTTGGATAGGACAACAAGGGTTCATACGGAGAGGATAGAAAAGGAAATGCAAAAAATTTTTGCAAATCACACGAGACAAACCCAACTTTAAGTCTCAACAATCGCTGATATGATCCATCAGTCCAACAATTCATAATAGAGTACTAGACATAAGAACCATTGGTTTTCTTATAGTTATATCATCATATCTATCTATATGTTGATGATCTATCATCTACTAAGAAGTACGGATACAGACATGAGTATCATATCCGATATGATACGGACATAGGGATACAACAAAGTTCCAAAATATATGACACGGATACAGTAAGGATACAACAAATTAAAATAATATTATATATTTTTATATTAAAAAAACATTAATAATACAGATTAATAAATATTGAGCAATTGATTAATATTTTATAATTGGACAATAAACTAATATTAAATTAGATAGTGGATTAATTAATTAATATTCTAATTGGGTGGACGAATGTGGATAGTGGGTTAATTATTTAATCTGTTTAAATGGAGAGAGAGAGGCTTCACTGATAAAAAAAGAAAATGCCAACCGACATCTCACACACAAATCCAAATCGCAGTGAGAGAAAGAGAGAGATTGCAGATCTAGAGCGCAACAAGAGATCGATCAATCAATTGATCGCAGGTCTGAATCTCAGAAAGAGGGGTCAGAAGAAGAAGAGGAGGAAGAGTTCTTTGACATACCTAGCCAATACAAGTTCAGATTTGTGATTTTCAGTTCTGTAGATTTCAGATATGTAGCTGAAGAAGAGAGGTACCGTATCTTTCTCGTATACCTCTTGTATCCATTTTTTTTTTTGATTTTTTGTTCATGACACTAGTGAAAGTGTCGGACACATGTCCGGCCGTATTCCAGACGTATTTGTGTCAGACACGTGTCTGACACTGCCAAATCGACCCCCGTCGGAGTATCCGTACTTCCTAGATCATCTACCTAATACATAATTATTTTACAAAAGCCTCCTAGCCATTTCTGTACAATTTTCTAAGATTTGTCGTGTCAATGGATCCTTATCCTAGCGTGCTGTGCCCATATCCCGTATTAATGTCTATGCTTCAAAGCTTAGCAACTAAGTTGTCCATAGCCTCTATAGCTTCCCAATATCAATCAATGGCAAAAACCAAATGGCCATAGGTATCCATCACTTGTGTTGCTTCACACATGTAGGACACCAGTCTTACATGGGTCAAAACTTTTAGAAGATAAGAGAATTTTGGAATGAGCAAGTCAAAAGCCCTGAAGCAGTGGAACCTCTATTATTCCCCAAAGGCATTGCTAACTAAAGTGAGTTCCATATCTCAGTTATAGCAAGAAATTTTGCCAAAAAGTAGATGTCTTGAAAAGGGAAATATAAAAACATGAAGAAAAAAAAAAGGTAGACATGAAAGCAATAGGACATAATGATAGAAAGCTTAATACATTGTATAATTTAGCCGTGGCATCAAAGATGGCTAGTATGCCAGTGAAGAATGATGTAGCTCAAACTAAAGGTTCTACAAGGATGTAGGTCAACTAAAGGCTGTGGGTGAGGTAGTGAAAATGAACAATGGTCAAATAGTAGGACTCTTCTTTTGATCCACCAGAAAGGGAGAAAGCTCCTCAACAAACTATTGAGTAGTAGGGGAAGCTCATCCCTCGCTTCCTCCCTTGCTTGTGCTTAGTAGTTAGTCTCACTCTTCCTTTTTTTGCTTCTTTTGCTTCTGTCTTTGAATATGCTTATTATACTTCTATGTTACCGTACTTCAGATTCAAGATAGGAAGAAAATGTAGCAATGGGGCTGATGAAAACATGATCTTGCGGGGGTGAGCACTCGCAGCTAACGTCGTTGGTTGAAAAAATCTCTTTCTAGTGCAACTCTTATATAGTATAGAAAGCGTTAGTTCAATCAAGCTTAATCAAACTCCTATTGCTGTTACAGTTAGTGCGAGTTGCTCGTAGCCCCTTGTGCATGCAACTTGACTGCATGCATGCCTTTCTCTCTCTCTCTCTGTTGTGTGTGTGTGTGCGTGTGAGAGAGAGAAAAAGCATAAAATAAGATTATTGAAAAGTTTACCATGCAGATTTTGTAATGGGGTGTGGAGCTTATGCCTTGGGATTTATCATTATATGTAGATTTACCTATGATTACCTCTTCTCAACACAGAGCATTCAAATACATCTAGAGAAGCTAAATACGAACTCCAAGGGTCGAAATCCAAATTATTGTCCTATGCTAGTAGAGCTACATTAATCAGATTCAAACCTACTATCCTTGATATGCCATGCAATATTTCTCCTTGCCCAAGTTTCTATGCAACAAACTTAATAGAAAGATCTAGGATTTCTGGTGGGGGCTACTCTAAGGACCACCATGCAATGGCCATCAAATCTAGGGAATACATATACAAGCCTAAAACTATTGGAGGATTACATTTCAAGAAAATACATAGTATCAATACGTCTCTCATAGCCAAACTTGGATGGAAACTCATAATGTAAGTCAAACCCTGGATCTCCCATTAAATACTACTCAAGAAGATCTTTCTTCCAAGTATAAAAACAATCCAATGAACATTCGAGGTATAGCTGACCCAAGATGTAGAAAGTCCCCCGTTCCTTGTGTTTAAGTTGATTGATCAAGAAAGAAAAATATGGGCAAAGAGTTGCTCTCTTCTTTATTTAGCACTCAAAACTGTGCAAGCCATCCTAAAAATCAAGCTTCGGTCCTTTGCCAAAGAAGATCATATGGTCTCAATTCCTTCTAAGAATACAACTTTTATAGTAATTTTGCTTACTGCACTTGGGGTGTGTTTGGTTTAGGCATTGGGAAAGACCAGATTGAACAAACCTGTCCTTCCCATACCTATCCATCCGGGCCTTGGAATAATTATAGTAATAATGACTTTTCATCCCATGTTTGGTTCAATTATTAAGTAGTAGGTCTCACATTTATCCCATCTAATACTTTATTTTAATGGAGCATTGAATGATGATATAAATATTAAATTACTAAAAAGCCCTCAAGATAATTATATCTTAGAGATTCTTGAGGATAAAAATTTCTTTTACCAAAACATACCCCAATCGGACTATTTAAACCGACCAAATAGGTGGATTTATTTAAGGTGTATATGACTATAAATGCACTATTCATCTGGGCCAGGATTATTTCTAGGTGATAACATAGGGCCCAAAGTGTGCATTCAAACATGGGAGTAAAGGGAATAAGGTGGGCCCAGATATTTTTTCCGATCCTTCTTTCTTAATACCTAAATCAAACACACCCTTACAGAACTAATCAAGACACTCCAAGCTTTTATTTTGACTAGGTAGATTGGAAGAAGGAAAAATCCTATATATGAACGACATACCCAAGACTATTCTACGGAGAATTGGAACTGAAAGTTGTCCAAACAAAAGCTTACTTGCTAGAAGTTTTCCAATGACAGACAATAAATGTCACATTTGCCAGCAAAGTGGTGAAACAGAACAAACATTTTTGCTAGAACTTTTTTGCTCATGTGATTTGGTTCAATAAATGAGGTTTGAGAGCAAATACTTGCTAGTTACTCCCACTTTAGCACTCAAGATGGGGATGCAAATGTAATTATCTATACACATAAACCACATCAACATCTCAGATTAATCTAAAATCAATCTTATGGCCGAAAATCTCTCCCAAAATTTTACTTTCCCACCTGTTTTTCCTAGATCTCATCTCTCTCTCACACATCCTTATTTTCTCTCAAGCTGTTCTCTTCTTTCTCACCCCTATCTCACGCACCTTTTCCCTCCTCCCTCCTCCTCAATTCGTGTTCTCTCTCTCCCTCATCTCCTCTTCTTCTCTCCACCATGCCACTGCTAGATCATTTCTACATTCCATCACCACCACCATATCCTAGCACAGTCTCCAACCACCAACTCTAGCATTCTTCTCTACCCCATCTTAGGTACCTCTGGCAATCTCTCTCTTTCTCCCAATCTCTCTTTTTCTGTTTGTTTCTCTTCTCCATAGTTTACACCCACATACACATCGACACACCCACACATCGACGCATACACCCACACATAGCACACACGCCCACATCCTGTAAATCTCATCCTCCCCAACCCACCACACGCCTACCTCTAAACCCACATCGCTGAACAACTACTCACAATTTAACACCAAAACCCTTAGGCCTCAACCCTCACCCACCCCACATGATATAGGCTTATCAAAAACAAGTGAGCCCACAAATAGGCTTAGCTTAAGCCCTCCTTAGTAGATTTGTTAGGTATCTTTTTATTTTTTGCATTATTTTATGTTTTATGTGAGTCTTACAAATGGTATTTTTGGTCCTAGTCTTTTTAAAAAGCGAAGTGACTCTCATGTGAGCTTTTAATTATCTTGGAGGGCTAGGATTAAAGAGTTATTATGGTGTTCAACGGCTAGGATGTTAGGGCTGAT